CTGCTTCCCCATAAGCATGTTCCCCCTTCCCAGCTTTAATTGCTTACTTTCCTCTATTATTTTGTTGTACTTGTATATAAATATCTGCACAGGTTTATGTGGTAGTCTGGTCTAGCCTCGTCACTACTTCGCCGGGGTTAGGCTAGGCACTTACCAGAATATGGGGTCGGTTGTGCTGATGCTACACTCTGTGCATCTTTTTTCACAGATCACAGTACCGGAGCAGCAGCTTTTGGACAACAGTAGGAGCATTTTGGGAGCTGACTTCAGTCCAGAGATCCCGAGGTAGCCTTGCTGACGTCCGCATGGCCCGGAGTCTCTTCTATCCTTATTTCGTTTGTTATCATTTGTACCGAAGCAAACAGTTTTATGTTTCGTTCGAACCTTGTATTTAGTATTCTCTAGACGTTCGTGAGTATTGCGACACCAGTCTTGGGTAGAGGATTTTTTTAAACTTCCGCATTTCTTTCAGATAAATATATTTGAGACTTCCGTTTTATTATTAATGCTTTATTGTTTTCTAATACTGACGTTGTTCGCTAAAAGAGGTAATTGATAATTGGCTTGCTTAGCTCCTATTAGTAGGCGCCATCACGACTCCCGAGGGTGAAAAATCCGGGTCGTGACAAAAACTTTATTAAAATTGAATGTACAATTATATCATAATAAATACTATATCTAAACCAAATCCATGGTTAATAGTATATATCCCAACAATCTCCCTCTTAGACTTTTAACCATGACAATTGTCAGAATATACTATATCTAAACGCATGGTTAATAGTATATGCCCTAACAATCTGATGCAATATTTGTCCAGTAGTGCTTTGTCGTAACCATCTAGTTTGGTATTATACTCTTCAGGGATCATGTTACTGAAACTATCCCAAGAGTGTACACCGAACTATAATTTTCTTTAGCATTCTCCCACTACGACGAAGTACTACTAATATTACCTTCACTTACCTTACGACATTGAAATATTAGTGACTTCTTACTATAGTGTTTACTTTTCAAACATCACTCCCACTAGATAAAGGCATATTATGTCTACTAACATTCTCCCACTACTCCAATGCAATGGAACGTCAATTCCGACTTGTGGTTTTTGATGTTCTTGAACGTCAATTGCCTTATTTTCTTTAGGACAATGAAATAAAACTCCATTAGTTTTCTTGGATATTCAATAAACATGCACCAAACCGTTCTTCGTTCCAACTTAAATATCCACTTTCCCTTTCAGCACATATGCAGGACAATCCTATATCTGAACATACCATGGACTGAGCATGCATTCAATCCACAGTTCTATAGATGTCCCAAGTACTAACTTAGAAGGAACTAAATTCAGAATGTAATTTGCAGTTTCTAAGAAATATTCCAAAAACAAATAAGGGAATCTGAATAACACGTCATTAATCTATCGATGTCCAAAAGAGACTTATTTCTTCTTTCTACCACACCACTCTATTATGGAGTTTACGGTGAAATCAATTGAGATGTAATCCCTTATTCTGATAAGTAAAAAAAGAACTCTTTAGAGAGGTGCTCGCTACTACAATCAAATTACAGTAACTTAATATATTTCCTTGGTGCTTCTCCGTTTCAAGTCTTAAAATCCTGAATTACTTAATTCATTAAGACTTACGGTGCATCAAATAAATATATTAATATTTTGAGTAATCATTTATGAACGTCACAAAAATACTCAAAACTATCTCTTACCTGTATGTTCATTTAACCATACAAATCAGAAGGGATTCATTTTAGCTTATCACTAGCTTTATTTCCTCTTGAAGGGAAACAACCTTTAGCCAAATTTCCTTCCAAACAGGATTTACAAGTTGGTAGTGCCTCTACTTTCAATGAACCTTAAGGTCAATCTATGACCAACTTGAAATCCTATCCAGATTAATATGACTTAGACAAAAGTGCACAGATAAGTTTTACTCAATTTTGAAGAACATATTCTCTTATGAGGTAGACTATTATTGTTCTGTTCAGGAGAGACATTAATATACAATAACAAGGTCATGCATTCATGTACCATAAGAGATAAAATGCTTATCAAGCTCAATAACTCAAGAGTTATTCGAAAAATAAAACAAATATCTATCTCTTGTTTTGCACAGAAACCGGAATTAAATTCATTCTAACAAAAAGTACATATATTGCATCCTTTAAATTAATGTCTTATCACTAAAAAAAAATTCTAACAAGTAATATGACAAATTTCATACAGTCATTATGGAGTTGAGATAAAAAAACATTAAATAGATCATAATAAGTCAAAACACTGAATAGTAAAATTCAGACTGCATTCAATATTTATATACATACATGCATCTCGAATAATAAATTTCGATGGGAAAAGAATCATTCATGCAAAGTATATTATATAATGCAAGAATTATACAATCCAAAAATAAATAGAACCAACTCAGATGGTGTCACGACCCAAAATCCACTAAGGGTCGTGATGGCACCGGACACCATTGTCAGGCAAGCCAACAACAAATAACTAGTAACTTCTCGTTTTAAATATTTCTGAAATCACTTCTTTTATACGTTTAAATATTACATAATAAATTCCACTAAATAAATAATGAAACATTTAACAATTTTAAATTTCTGAATAAACCCATAGACATCCCAGAACCCGGTGTCACAAGTGCATGAGCATTTACTAGGGAATGAAATAAAATACAGTAAGTGTCCGGTATACAAAGTGGACAGAAATGAAAATACAATACAATACTCTGAAGGAGACTCTGCTGGCTGCGGGTCGTCTCGATAAGTGAAGCTCACCTAAGTCTCCGTATCAACCATGCCGCCATGCCACTAAGCCACTAGTCACACATAAACCTGTGCAACAAAAATGCACAGCAAGTGTAGTATGAGTACGAAAACAACGTGTACTCAGTAAGTATCCTGCCTAATCTCGAAGAAGTAGAGACGAGAGGTCGACTTCGACACTTACTAGTGGTCCAATAATGCTATATCAATAATATATTAAATTGTGGATTTTTATAAACATGATTGTAATTCAATAGAATGAAGCAAATAAACAATTCATTCTTTTATCGAAAAATTCCAAATTCCTTTTCGTCACTTATACTTTTATTCTCAAGCCGGGAAGAAACAACATCACTTCAATAAATTCCAAGGCAAACAATTCAAACATGCACAAATCATGCTGAAGACGTACGGCCCGATCCAACAATATTTAAAATGTGCACTTCCAGAGGGTCGAATGGCGCGAACCATAGATGCGTCTATTTAATCTACCGAGGCATTCGGCCCGTACCACAATAGATAAACACATTCAACAATCAAATCAATAATTCATCAAGGAGCAAATATTCAGGGAAAGGCAAGTTTCTCTTTTAAAAGTCAAGAAATGATATCTAGCCTTTTTTTTAGGAATTCATTTACACGTTCGATATGTTTTAAGCATTTTAGGTTTGTCAACAAGGTTGCAAGTATTACAAGAAAACATGCTTTTGGGCCCTAAACTACCCGGACTAAAGCATACTAGTAGCTACGCACGGACTCTCGTCACCTCGTGCGTACGTAGCCCCCGAAAATAGGATCACATAACCAATCAACTCACCTATGGGGACAATTCGCTCTTACAAGGTTAGAAAGGAGACTCACCTCGCTCCGAAGATCCATAACTGGCATTCCACGCCCTTCCGAAGACTCGAATCGATGCTAAATGCTCCAAAGCTAGCCAATAATTATATAAATCCATTAATATATGCTCAATTACTCATTAAAATCCAATTTATAACAATTCCTAACCCCGATCGAAAGTTGAAAAAAATGCCCTCGGGCCCACGTGCCCGGATTTCTAAATTTTTCGAAGAACAAGTTTACCCATAACCCCACGGACTCAAATATATGATTTACTCTCAATTTCTTACCCCAAATCGTGGTCAAATTCCAAGAATATAAATTTCTAGGTCTTCCTACCAAAACCCCAAATTTCTATAAATTTCATGCTCAAATCCGTACATAATCAATGTATTTAACTCAAGATAGGTGGGGATAGCTTACCTTATCATTGATGATGAAAACCCCCTCTTGAAACCCTCCAACAATCGCCCAAGCCAAGAGAAAAATGAGAGAAAATGGCCAAATCCCAATTTTTAAAACACTCACTGCCTCCAGTCCTTTCGCACCTGCAGTCTATTGACCACTTCTGCAGTCCCGCAGGTGCGGACCATTTGCCGCTTCTGCGGTCTTCCCCCAAGCCTTCAACCTCCGCATCTGCGCTTCTCCTTCCGCAGGTGCGGTCCCGCATCTACTGCAAAATGACCGCATCTGCGGTCCCAGCCTAGCCGTCCATTTCCGCTTCTGCGGCACGAAGGCCGCTTCTACGGCTCCGCACCTACGGTCCAAGTCTCGCAGGTGCGGTTATACCAGCAACCAACAACTTCAGCCTTTTCCAAAATTCCATTTTTGATCCGTTAACCACCCGGAATCCACCCGAGGCCCACGGGACCCCATCCAGTCATACCAACAGGTCCCAAAACACATTACGGACTCATTGGTGGAGCAACAAAAAGAATTTGAGGAGGAAGGAGATGATGAATCAACTGCAGAAAATTTTAAAGGTGTGATGAGGGAAGGGGTCTCCTACAACAGCTAATAGAAGTTGGAAAAAAGGGAAGAAAAATCAATCCAAAGAGCCACTACAACCTACAAGAATCCTGCCTAGAAGGGCAGCTTCTACAGCTTCAAGATGATGATTAAGACACTCATATGGAATATAAGGTCTGTTAAGACTCAACAGGCCTTTCAGAGGGTGATAAATATGCAAAAGGAGCATGGTTTTTTCATTGTAGCACTTATGGAACCTATGCAGAAGAAGAAATTTCTAGACAAATACAGAAGAAGGCTAGGTATGGAAGCTGCAATTTCTAATGTGAATGGGAAGATTTGGTTATTTTTTGATTCTGTGGTGGCATGGGATCTCTTAAGACACTGAGCAGCAAATGACCATTAGAGTGTATCATCAGGATCTTGGGAAATACATTATGATGACATTTGTATATGCTAAGTGTTGTGCTTTGGAGAGATTGGAGTTATGGGACAATCTGTACTACTTGGCTAGTGATATGGAATTGCCATGGCTAGTAGGGGGAGACTTCAATGTAGTGATGGGAGAGGAAGAAAAGATAGGTGGACTACCAGTGTATCCTCCTGAGTATGAAGATTTTGCATTTTGTGTCAACTCTTGTGGCTTGTTTAATCTTGGCTACAAGGGTAGTCCATTCACATGGTGGAATGGGAGGCCAAATGAAAAGTGTATATTTAAAAGACTTGATAAAATCTTGGTGAACATGCCATTTCAAAACTTGTTTCCTACAATTGAGGTTGAACATCTTATTAGGGTTGGATCAGATCATGCACCCTTTTTGATGAGCTGTGGAGAAGAAGCAATGAAATTTGTGAAGCCTTTCAAATTCTTGAACTTTTGGACAAAACATGAATCCTTTCTAGAGGTGGTGAAGCAGAACTGGATTGCTGATTTTATAGGGGATCCATTCTTGATGTTCAAGCGGAAGTTGAAGAGGGTTAAGATTGCTCTATCAAAGTGGAGCAAGCTAACCTATGGTGATATTTTCAAGCAACTAGCTATCAGGGAAGATGTGGTGAGGATTAAGGAGATGATGTTTGAGGAAGATCCATCTACTGAGAATAGAATAGTACTTGAACAAGCTCAAGCTGAGCTAAAGAAGTACCTTAGTCTAGAAGAACAATACTGGAAACAAAAGGCAGGAATGAGCTGGTTTGAAGAGGGGGACATAAATACAAGATTTTTCCAGAATCATGTTAATGGAAAAAGACAAAAGTTACAATTGAAAAGGATTCAGAATAGTGATGGAGACTGGATTGAATCTCAAGAGCTAATGTCCACTCGAGGCCTCAAATCATATCAAGCAACGCTAAAACCACGAATCGACCCCCCAATCCAAGCTTTATGAACTTTAGAATTTCAAACTTCTACTTTCGATGTTTAAACCTATCAAATCACGTCCGATTGACTTCAAATTTTGCACACAAGTCATATTCGACATTATGGACCTACTCCAACTTTCGGAATCGAATTCCGACCCCGATATCAAAAAGTCCACCTCCGGTCAAACTTCTCAAAACGTTCAAATTTCTATCTTTAGCCAAATGGCTCCAAAATTCTCCACGGACATCCGAATTCACTTCCGATCGCGCTCCCAACTCCAGAATCACCATACGGAGCTACTCCTAGACTCGGAATCCCAAACGGACATCGATAACATTGAAATGCACTTCAACCCAAACTTATGAAATTTCATCCAAAATGCTAACTTCCACAATAGGCGCAAAAATGCTCCCGGGTCACCCAAAACCCGATCCGGGCATACGCCCAAGTCCGTAATCATCATACGAACCTAGTGGAACCTTCAGATCCCGATTCTGAGGTCGTTTACTCTGAAATCCAATCCTAGTCAATTCTCTCAACTTAAAGCTTTCGAAATGAGAATTTCCTCTCCAAGTCAACGCCGAACTTCCCAAAATTTAATTCTGACCATGCGTACAAGTCATAATGCATGAATTGAAGCTGCTCATGGCCTCAAACTGCTGAACGGCGTGCTAAAGCTCAAAACGACCGGTCGGGTTGTTACATCTTGTCGCTCGGCTTCGGCTTCGGTCAAATGATTGATTGATTAATTTTTTGGACCAAATTTATTTGTTAATATTAAGATTAACGTAATATTATTTTAATCCAAAATTAATTTTCCTCCGCGTTTTGATCTGTTTTATTTTGCGTAAATAGCCAGTTACGTAATGGCCGTTTTACGCGTACAGTCATGACAGACCTTCTGAAGAGTTGCACCTCTCCATTTAAATCCAACCTGTTGGCTATAAATAGCAGACCATTCCCTCAGATTTTCCATACGAAATTTTTGAATTTTGCTCTTCCTTTCTGCATTGTTTTCTTACAAAACAAACAACTTAAGTGTGATTTGCTGCTGCCATTTGTGTTTGTTAAAATAATACTATGTTAATCTTAATATTAACAAATAAATTTGGTCCAAAAAATTAATCAATCAATCATTTGACCAAATCCAAATCCGAATCCAAATTCGAAGCCGAAGCCGAAGCCGAGCGGCGACGATGACGACTGCACGAGGCTTGCGTTCTTCTCAACTCTTTAAGAGCTAGAAGAAGAGCAATTGTATAAATACCCATCAAAATTCTTTTCCTCTTCCAATATGGGACAATATCCCTTTGTCAAGGAGGGGAACTCAAATATTTCACTTTCCCTCCATTTCCCATTCACCCTCTTTTAAGCTAAAACAAGCTTAAAAAGCCCAATAATCCCCCCACATGAATGACTGTCATACGAGGTACCACATGACCATGATGGTAAGGTATGTAAAGTATGTTAAAAGTGATTAGTATTTTAAGTAATTTGAGATAATTCTTAATTATGTGGATAATTGGGTAATTATTGATTTTTAGCGGAAGATTAACTAATTAATTAGCATCTTTGAATAAGCCTAATGGACCTCAACATGGCAGCAAAGGGCTTAGGTAATAGTGACTCTTGGTTCATTAGACTAGGTGGCCTATTTAGGGGATCTTTGGGCAAAACAAAGCCACAAAAGTGGGGTCCACAACCTAAAATTTTAAGACATCTTCCTACATCATTAAGGGGGAGGTGTATGTGCTAAGCAACAGATGAATTCTCAAATGAATTCATATGAAATTTCATAACTCTACAGCAGCGTGAGATGCTGCAGTAGAGTTCTTTCAGAATCAGTTCACTAAGGAGGATGACCCTACAAGCTTTGATCTTTTGAACAATGTGCCTACAATGGTTACAAGGGAGCAGAATATAGAATTGTGTAGATTGCCAACAAGGGAGGAGGTGAAAGCAGCAGTCTTTGCATTGAGCAGTGAGAGTGCAAGTGGTCCTGATGGTTTTTCAGGTTTGTTCTTTAAGACATGTTGGGACATTGTAGGGGAAGACATACATAGGTTGCTGACTTTGTTCTTTGATGGTAGTCTTTTGCCTAAGTCAATAACTCACACAAACCTTGTATTGCTGCCCAAAAAACCTAGAGTCCAAACGTTCTCATATCTTAGACCTATTAGTCTAAGTAATTTCATTAATAAAGTGTTCTCAAGGTTTGTTCATGATAGATTGGAAAAGATTCTACCTGCCTTGATCTCTCCAAATCAATCAGGCTTTGTTAAGGGGATGAGTATTTTTGAGAATATCTTTTTAACTCAAGAGATTGTAACAGATATAAGGATGAGAGGGAAGCCTGCTAATGTAGTTATAAAGCTAGACATGGCTAAGGCATATGATAGGGTGTCTTGGAAATATTTGATGCATGTGCTAAGGAGGATGGGGTTTGCAGAATGTTTCATTAACATGGTGTGGAATCTTATCTCAAACAACTGGTATTCAGTGATGGTAAATGGTCAAGCTTCTGGTTTCTTTCATTCTTCAAGGGGTGTGAAGCAAGGTGATCCTTTATCTCCAGCTTTATTCATATTGTCAGCAGAAGTTTTGTCAAGATCTTTGAACAAATTATTTGAGGATAAACAGTTTAGAGGTTTTGGGATGCCAAAGTGGTTCGATCCATTGAACCACCTTGCCTATGCTGATGATACAATTATTTTTGCATCTGCTAATCCTTATTCATTACAGAAGATTGTTGATGTGTTGGCACAATACGAGCATACTTCTGGACAGTTGATTAACAAGTCAAAGAGCTCATACTATATGCATGCTAAGGTAGCAGGAGATATGACAAATGCAGTTGCTAGTATCACAGGATTTACAAAAGGAACCTTCCCCTTCACTTACCTTGGATGTCCAATATTTTATACAAGAAGGAGAAAGAAGTACTACAATGATCTGATCCAAAAGGTGAAAGAAAAATTACATTCTTGGAAAGGGAAGTTATTATCATATGGAGGAAAGGCAACATTGATATCCAGTGTCTTGCAAAGTATGCCTACACACATACTATCAGTACTAGATCCACCTGATAATGTATTGGAGCATCTTCATAAAACCTTTGCAAGATTTTTCTGGAGCAATAAGGAAGAAGGAAGGAGCAGGCATTGGACAAAGTGGCAGAACCTATGTCTTCCTAAGGAGGAGGGAGGAGTAGGTTTTAGATCTTTGATTGATGTCTCAAAGGCTTTGTTGCCAAATTGTGGTGGAGGTTCAGAACTACCAAAACTCTATGGGCTAACTTTATGTGGAACAAATACTGTTAGAAGGAACTACCAACTGTAGTTCAATTCAGGGAAGGTTCACATGTATGGAGAAAAAAGTTAGAGGCAAGAGAAGAAATTGAGCATGAGATCCTATGGGAGATAAATAGAGGATCGACTAATGTGTGGCATGAAAACTGGACAGGACTGGGGGCTTTATACCATGTTATACCTCCCTATTTTCACATCAATGACGAATTGCAAGAGGTAGCTGATTTGAGAGAGGAGGAGTATTGGAATGATCAACTTCTGGACCAAAAGTTTCCTCCAGATATTGCTGACCATATTAGAAAAGAGGTTCACTTTGCAGAAGCCAATGAATGTTGGGACACCCCAAGATGGATGCCTACTCCTTCAGGTAGGTTTACTGTTAGTAGTGCTTGGAGAATCTTAAGACATAGAGAGCCAAGCAATCCTGAGTTTGTTAAGATATGGACTAAGGGCCTGCCATTCAAAATTTCATTCTTCTTTTGGAGAGTTTGGAGGGGAAAGGTTCCAACTGATGATATATGGAGAAGAGGGGGACATATGGTAGTGTCAAGATGTTGGTGTTGTAGTTCACCAAAGGAGGATTCTTTCCAGCATTTATTTCTAACAAGTGAGACAGCAATTAAGGTGTGGAAGACATTCATACAAGCTGCAGGTCTGGTAATAAATTTGATTGAAGTGCATCAGGTTGTAAGGGCATGGTGGAGTGCTAAATGTTGTCCTAAACTTAAGCCATTGTATCAGGCTGTACCAGCTGTGATATTATGGGAACTTTGGAAGAGGAGAAATACAATGAAGCATGGTGGAGCAGTCTCCTATAGTAGGGTGATTCATGAAGTGAACAAAATATTATACTATCTAGCAAAAGTTAGATATCCTTGGCTATCTAATATCCCACTGATGTGGCCTCATATGATCAAATTTTTTGAGAATTACAAGCCCTTTGTAATCACCAAGAAGGTAACATGGCAGCTTCCATATGAAGGGTGGTACAAGTGTAATACTGATGGAGCTTCTAGGGGCAACCCAGGTCCTAGCTCCTATGGATTTTGTGTGAGAAATCATGAAGGAGATTTGGTGTATGCTAAGGCAAAGGAGATAGGGATGGCAACCAACATTGTAGCAGAAGCAAAAGCAATTGTAGAAGGGCTGGCATTTTGTGTGGAAAGGCAACTGCATCCTTTGATAATGGAGACTGATTTTCTGGTGTTGAGGAAGATTATAGATGGTGAATGGGAGACTCCATGGTGTATAGGGGTTGAAGTGAGGAAGATCAAGGAGATAAAGAGTACATTCAATGTACTCTTTCAGCATGTGCTTAGAGAGGGCAACACAGTTGCAGATTTCTTAGCTAACCTTGTTTTTTCTTTTGCAGGTACAGTCACCTTTCACTATTTTCATGAACTTCCACCTAGAGGAAAAGCTTTAATCAATTTAGATAAAGCTCAGATGCCAAATCTTAGGATTAGAATAGCTAAAAGGAAAGCTCCAGATTGATGTATAAGCTATCATATACACTGCCAAAACTGTGTATCTCATTTCTATGCAAAGTGTTGGATGACTACTCAGTGGTATCAGCATGCTGTCATGCTCAGTCTGAGGGTGATTTAACATTTTTCAGAATGATTTCCTCATATACAGGTAAGGCAGAAACATCTGCAGGAATTCAATTTATATCTGTTATATTTATAGGCAGAAATTGTTGGTTGGTTGCTATTGCTTTTGTGTCCTTCAGTATCAAATGCTTAGGGACAGATGCATGGTGTACTGCATATTGTTGTTCTCATTGTCTGAGGTAATAAGCAGCTCAATGTATGGGATTCATATAGAGGTTCAAATCTGCAGTGCTATGAGGATAAGTTACAGCTTTATATTGTTTAAGTTTGAACTAACACTCAGGATAGCACTCAAGTATTGGATGTCACACTCTTCATTAGTTTTGTTACAGTTGGTATTGTGCTTTCATTGTTCAGTGGTATTAGTGTGTTTACACACTCATTCTGGGGATGAGGGTACAGTATTCAACTTGAGTTTGCAGTGTGAGTAGGTGACAAGCTCAGATTCATATGCAGTCTTTATTCATGCTTGGAAGAGACTATTTGCTTCAGTACTCACATCTACAGGAGGAAGAAGCAGTCAGTTGTTCATGATGTAATAGCTAGCTATTTTAATTGCTTAGCATTTCTAGTAGTTAGTATTTTCATACATTTTTTATTTAGATTTGGACACCTTGTACTATTTGGATCAAGTTTTCGGCTGCTTTATAATATATTAGCCACTAGGCATCCTGCCTAGGGGTATATTTGTTTTAAAACAAATCCCTCATTCTCACCTGGCCCGCCGCCTTTGAATCCCAAACTCTCTCAAACTCTCTCCAAAACTCTTCGAAACCCTAGCCTCCTCCTACCTTATTTCAACGTGTTTTCACCAGAATCCATGGCTTCTCAGGCCATGGACGGTCCGTACTCACCCCTCTCCACCAGTGGACCTTGGGTGTTTGAGGTTTTGAAGGCTGACCTCGACGGTTCTCTTTCAGATCTTCTCAGATCTTTGGTTCTATGGCTTCACCGGCCTTTGCTCCGGCATATTCAAGCCTCAGGAGCCTGATTCCTGACCTCTTCGACTCAAGATCTGATTTTTTCCAAGCCTTTCTCATTTCTAGGGTTTCTCCGAAACCCTAAGCTGTTTGAGGTTTTTTCTCTGTTTATTTTCTTATATCTATGGTACGATTGTGTTCTACTGAACTTCTAAATTGTTTTTCCCCAAACTTTTCTTTCAGAATTATTTTCTTCGATTTAGGGTTTCTGAAAGGGTTTTCAAACATCTTTCTGTTCTTTCCTTCATGTGTGTTTGTCTATATTATGCTCGTATGTTTTCTTGTTTACTACGCGTGTGTTGTTCTTCTACTTCTTCTTTTTCTACTGTACATGTTACTCCTGTGCTCACATGCTAATCCTTGTTATGTTTTCCTTACTCTTCTACTATATGCGTTTACTGTTGAGTTCTTGGATTTTGTTTGCTTTACTGGACTCTGTTTGTGTCCTTGCTATGCATGTTTCATCTACTGTTGCTTAAGTTTACACCACCTCTCTTTTCTTCTGAACTTGCTTGAGTTCCGACTTTTCTAAAACATGCTCTTTTATGCTCTTAAATCATCATTCTTTCTTTGTTGTTTCAAACCTGCTATCATATCTGTTTTGTTTCTCATAAGGCTCTGAAACAGACCTTTGAGTCTGTTTCAATGGCTTTCCTTCTCATCTCTATGTCTAATTCGATTTGAAACCCTAGGATTTGGCGGTTTCTTTGGCAATTTTGATTAGGGTTCTGCTTTGGAACCCCGGACTATCAGACTCACCCTAAGTATTATGAACTGAATATGAAACTCTTTGCTTGTGATTCTGAACCTTTCTATGCCTGTCTTTTCTAATTAGCATGACAACCCTTTCTTGTTTGATATCTGTGTACTTTATATATGAGGATTTCTTCTTGCAAAAGGGTTTTGCTAACTATTGATTGATTCCGAATTTCTTTTAATAAGGTCTGATTGATTGCTACTGATTTTCTCTAATTGAACCCTCTTTTCTTTTTTCCTGGCTTGGTTCATTCGAACAAAGCCGGTGATTTTGATTTCACTGGCTGTCGGATTGATTCCCTTTCCTTATTTTTCACAAACCGTGTACCACTGAACTTTGCCTTAAATAACTCCTGTGTACTTACCCTTCTTGTGTTACTTTGGAAAAGATTTCAATCAAATTTCTTTCCTTAATTGTCTTCTACCCGTTTGAAATCAGAACCCCTTAGCTGAAGGGAGATTCTTTGTGATTGATTGCAAACTATTTTCTTACCTTTTCTTACTTGTTTTCTGCACAATAAAAAGGGGCACGACCCTTCTGCACTGACACAACCTTGAACCCTCGGTTGAACACTTACAAACCAATTCACATTACGAATTGCATACTCTCACACACATACTTTTAGTCACAATACTCTTTCAAACTCTCTACTCCCTGCTGAGACTTTTGTACTGTTTTGCTTGCAACTTGGCTTTTCAAGACTGCTGTTTTTACTTATTTGTTTCCCCTGAAACTAGTATGTCTCAACTTTGATTTCAGCTTTTTCCCTATGTGTTTACTTTACAGTTGCCCTATTCCTGTCTACCTTGTTGCTCATGTTCTGTATATTACTTCCTTTTATGTTTACTGCCTGTTATAAATCCCCCATACCCCCATTCCCTTTTGTGTGCTGAGTTAAAGTTCATGGCCTGGCAGTATCCAAATTACTGCCCAGGTCTGAATATGACCTTCAATAGTTCCTAACTCCCAAATTCAAGCTGACAGGCTGGTCAGGGGTGTGCCAGCATCCTAATTGCTGGGCATGACCACTAGTTTATCATGGGTTTCCCTAATTCCCCCTCTATTGCACTTACACTTATTCTTAGACTCTAAGTTCTGCCCCCTCCTATGAGCCTTGCCTTGGGGACCTTGAGTTCCCTCTGAACTTGGACATTTGAGGGCTGGCCCTTCCACAGTGCACTATAATCTGATCCTGCAAATGTAATTGGGTGTATGCACTACCCGGGGTTCATGAAGCTCCTTGGAACTTTGACACATCCAAAGGATGAGAAAGGCTTTGGAAATGTGATCTTTGGAAGTTGGTTTATTTCATGTTTCAGACTAGGAGTCTGAATTAGGCTTTCCTTGGTTGGAACTTTAATTTATGATGTAATTTTTATTTTTCTTGATTCATTCGGGTTGTAATAATTTGTAATAACTTATGGGGTGTATAGTGAAAAGGGGAGGGTCACTCATGTTATGCATGTGGGTAGACATCATGCTTTAGGTATTTATTTCTGCAACACAGCCCGTTTTCGCTTATGCATCTAAATATAGAAATCCTGCCTATAAGTTTATGCATCTGCATGTAGGAATCCGACCTATAAGTTTATGCATCTGCATATTGAAATCCTGCCTATTAGTTGCTTCATTACTGCATTAGAAATCCTGCCTGTAAGTTGTTTCATTACTGCATTAAAAATCCTGCCTATAAGTTATACATTTCATTAGAAATCATGTTTATAAGTTTCTGCACTTCTGCATATAGAAATCATGATTATAAGTTTTCTGCACTTCTGCATATACACATGTCATTAGGCAAACAATCCATAGGTTAAGGAATAATCAATTGCATCCTAGATACCATTCTCATAGGATTCCTGCACTTACATAACCGTTTTAAAATCAGTAACGCTTAGAATTCATGCCTATAGGAGCAATCGTTTAAATCTGATTCATCCGCAAGTCTAAAATCAGTAATAATGTTGTTAATATCCGCAGAATTGGTTTATTTCTAAAGTCAGTAATCTTCTTTAAAATCAGTATGTTTGACCTTGTTAGATATCATGCCTATAGGTTTCACCTAGGCAAACCATTAGGTAATCAATTAATTATACCAGTCTTTAATAATTACAANNGCCCTTCTAGATCCTGTGTATTCATTATCATCTAGAAATTATGTCTATAAGTATCTGGAAATCTGAATTCTGCATATGCATATAGAAAATATGCCTATAGGACCTTTCAAATCCTGTATATTCATCTTTTCATCTAGAAATCATGTTCATAGGTTTAAAACGAGTCTTCTGCATTTTTATACCATATCCACAAAAGGCTTAAAACCAACTACGCATAGAAAGTATGTCTATAGGAACTATTAATTGAATCTGAATCACTTCATTCGCACATAGAGTTAAAACCAGTAATAACGATGTATCATCATTTGCAGAACTTACAACCTTCGTCAAAACTTGCCTTTCTTTAATAATCTGACTATCTTTTTAACCAGTACGTATTCAGTTTATTGTTAATGCGTTCGTAATTCAGTAGATACCATGCCTATAGGATCCTTGTCCAACACTTAGGCAAGCCTTAGGGTAAAATTAAATCCATTTCTGTTAATAGCTACAACCAGCAAGCAGGCCTGATTCGGGCTTCTTATCTGAATTATATAATAAATCAGTCTGCCTCAACCTTTAAGTTCTCGCATGTTTAATGCTTAATCAGACCTTAACTAGTATGTGTAAGTCATGCTAAAAATGTGTTTCTTTGTTAAAGGGGATATATCTGAGCCTTTGCGTGTTATGTGTTTTTCCCCAATTTGCTATACATGTTTTGTATGTCGCCTTAGAATTTTTGCCTTTAAAACCACAAATAAGCCTAACATCCCTACCTCCCTTAGGATTAGTAGTCCTAAATGCCCCGGGACTGATAGGATTGAGACGGGTAGTAGCATGCAATATGTAAGCTAGACCATTCCGCGCTTAATACCTTAACGGGGTGGGAAGGGTAGATATGGATATGATGACCACGCGATAATGTCACGTGTAGCCCCTCATTGAGGAGTGATTACCGGGCATTGTGTGGGGTGATCCATATTATTAATAAACCTAGGACCCCCCCTCCCATTATTCTTCCTTTCCAGGATTTTAAACTATTTTTTTT